TGACTGAGTAGTTGTTAGATAAATTTCCATTTCATTGTGTGAACTTAGAAAAAGACGGATAAAACCGTATCAAAACAACTTTATTATTCTGGAAATATATCGCATTTTTTTGATACTAAAGTTTAAAAGATGCGACGATTTAATGTTTTGTTGAAATATTTATAACGATAATTGCATAAATGTGTTTTTTAATGAGGAAATAACGAACAATATTTAAATGTATTAAAAGCTTTTTGTATGCATGTTGTTGATACATTGTTAGTCTGTTGTTGTAGTACATAAAGTTGGACATTAATGAGTGCTATGTGGGAGGTTTCGCACGTGGCGGTCCTAATGACATTTTATGCTTACTTTACGACAAATCCTCGACGCAATTCCTTTATTGACAGTTTTATTAAAACAACTATATGCATATTCAAAGATTACACACATGTACTGATGCAAAATTATTGTTAAATAGATCTCGCGTTCAACTGCGTCCGCGCAGACTTAAAAATCTTAATTTAGTTATTAGTAGCGTATGTGTTCTTCCAGGCTATGTTCATCTATGCCAAATTTCAGCGAGATCCGTGCACTCGTTCTGGAGATACCTTCTAACATTCGCATTTATATATTAGTAAGAAGTAAGATTTGCTTTTTCATCGAGTCTAGAGATTTTTAATACAAAAATAATATACGCGATTTTGAGAAAAAGAGTCTTGACAGACAGACGGGCGGACAACAAAGTGATCCTATAAGGGTTTCGTTTTTTTTCCTATGAGGTACGGAATCCCAAAAATTAAGAAATCTTTACTTAAATGGGTTTTGGTGCTAAAACACAAACAAAATAATCGTGGAAAATTATCACCGTGAGCATTTCATTCAAATACAATATTTAGATCGTAAAGTTTTGCAAAAAAAAAACAACATTTAAAATAATAGTTCCCAGCATGAATTGAGTGTGCAACAAAGTTTTGCAATCTCTAAACTTCATCATATTTAGCAATACAGTTTCACAAATATTGTGTTTTGATGTTTTATCTTTAAAATGTCCAGCATAGTTTGTTTTTAATGTTTTAAAAAAAGTTTCGCAAAAGATTATTTTTTTAATACCACAAGTCAAACAAATTTATTTATAAACTTTATATTTTAACATTATTTTCCAATTTAATCACAAAATTACGCGCAGTTCTGATAAATATTTAAAAGTAAATAAAAAAAATAATTTAATGTATTGAAGGACATTGTAAATAATACGATTAATTTCCTGTCATAACACGCATTAAAAAAAAACAAAAAAAATGTAAAAAAATTATCTGGTTTAAAAATAAAACTGTAAACATATTTCTTTGTTATAATCACGATTAGTGGTATTTTTACAGTAAAAGAGAGTTTCCATTGTTGTAAGGTAAACCCATTATGTATGAACTTGACTCATTTTCCCGTGGAGCAGACGATTAAGAGATTGCCGGTTTAAACCTGGTTACACAATCCATTGTAATTACGTAGCTAATTAAAGGAAACACCACTCGTAAATGAAAGTAACAACGTTTTTTGTATACAATGGTAGTGATATCACTTATTTCTCAAGGTATTTGAGTGGATATGTTCATACGATAATGTTTATGTGTTTTATTGTTCTTATAGAGTGGCGATAGGGTTGCCAGGCGTCCGGATAAACTGGGACATAGATAGACTTTTAGATTGCGTGTCAGCCAAAATAAACGGTTTTGTTATTGTATTGTACCTATTACTAATAATGAGACATATCCTCAATAATGTAGAGTATCCGGCCTTTCTATCCAAATGTCCGGCCAAGCTAACTGGTCTGTCCAGCTATTAAGTTTGGCGACAAGACAACCCTAAGTGGCGGTGTATTTATATGTTAAGTAGGCAATTTTTATGTAACACCCGTCTTGCTCTAACGTGCCTCTACCGCGCATGGCATCGTCTGTCTGTTTCACTGGAATAAAATAAAAAAATATATATATTTTAAAATTAGATACCATTCTAATAATATGTACTATTATTTATTTATTGTGTTCTATTTGGATGAGTAGTAAAAAATAATCCAAAAAAGTATTTAATAGTCATTGAATAAATCACTAATCAACTTTTTCTATCTGGCATAAAAATATTTAAGTCTTGATAAAGACTTTGAAAGTTGTAATAAAAATTTAAGGCTTTAAAAAGGGATCGAAAATGAGCTTTTATATAGACCGTATTTCCCCAAGGTTTTTTTATTTTTTCCGCTTTTATTTAAACACGCAACTATGCTGGGTATAAATAACATCCCGGAATTACTTCGTATGTTAGCTCCAAGTGGTATTATGCAGCCATTATAAGCATTTAACTTGCAATATATAATTTACTTTTTCTATAAATGAAAATTAACGTATGTTTGTCCCAAATGAGTTCCATAACTGCTGGGCAAATAAAAACTTAATACGGCAAGAAAACTAACCTTCCATTACACTCATTATATTTTAATAAGATCCATTAAAATCATTAAAAAGAAGTTTTTTTCAAAAATAATGATTTTTTCTCTTTATTATGACATTAATAATATACCTTGGGCATTCCATCTACATAATTCAAAGAAAATAAAGTTTACGATGTATATTTTATGATATTATACAAGACATTACTGCCAATTAACAGAAAACCTTTTGACCGTTCTGATAATTAACACATTTTTTCAAATCTAAAATTATATTCTACTTTATTGCAATTCCTATTGTTAACTAAAGATTAAATAAACCAGAAAACTGGAAGAGTGTTCTAAAAGGATTTAAAATCGTTATGCACTGCCTGGTCACTTTTCATTTTGTCAGCCTCACTTACAAAGTTTTCTCTAACAAAATAACTGTCAATTTGAAATAAAAAGTGCAATCATTGATAACAAATTGCTTTTACAATGTCTTTTAATGTTAAACGTGACTGTTGGTTGGGCCACTCGCATTGTTGTTCGTAGCCAAGGGCAGCAGAATCTACAAGGGATTTGAAAGTGTTCTAGGACGTGTTTGTAGAGTTATGGTTGAGCGTCACGGCCGGGGCGGAGAAGAGGGGACCACAATGACGTCGTGTGTATGCGCCGGCTGCGCTTGCGCCGCTCAATGAGCAATAAACTCGCTAAGAACGGCATCGACGCGTGCTGCGCCTCGGCGCGTCCTCTCACGAGGTCCCACTTTGAAATTATTCATCTTTTTTTAATATGCGATCAATCTTTAGTTTTTTGAAATCAATTGCGTTTGCGTCATCCAGATATCCCGAATTTTAGAGACTAAAATTAAAATATGATAATTAATAAGAAATCATTAAATTAAAATAATATGTTCCTGATATAAACTTCGCAACTCAATAATAATAATAATAATTTTACTAGGAATTCTAATACTCGACTGATTTATTGCAACTTACAACATGTTAGTTAAAGTTAATATTCGAAAATTTTATTTTATTATTAAATTAAACATATTTTATTATAAAATTTTATTTTACCGTATACTTATACGGTAATAACACTGAAAAGTACGACTTAATACATTTATATTAATTTTCACACTTAGGCGAATAAAGTTAATATCTCGATGAAAATTAATTTTCATAAAAGAACGCATAATTTGAATTTTGCTGTTGTTGAAAAAATTTGAATTGGAAACAATTTGTAATATGCTAGGATGCTAATTATAAAGCCATTTATATTTCCTTACACATAAAAACCTCTTCCATATTTTAAGTATAAACAAAAACATTAACGCCCGTTTTTTTGTCAAAATGGTTTATAATAAATAAGCCTTATTTCTTCCGAGCAAGTACACAAAAAACGTTCCAGTACTTAATATTATATTAAAATATAATAATATTATATCCCAACAAAAAAATTACCAAACCGTAGCAATATTACGCGTAAATTAATATTTGGTAATATATTAATTTACGCTCAATAAACACACGCGCCAAAATTGCTACGCATTCACGCTCCGGCTACTCCGAAATCATACAGCGTAAATTCATGACCAAATTATATTGCAAATGCTTTGAGGTTATCGAATAAAGCGGTTGTCCTACACAAAAAGTAGAAATACCTAAGATTTGATAAGGGACATACGAGAATAGATTTCAGTTGTCTATTTATGCGACGTCAAAGCACACAGGACAGGCGTAGGTTATGTTGACTATTATTTTGATATCCGTCCTTATTAGAATATTATATATACATAGTTGGAATATAACAATATTTGAATTTGTTCGTTTTCGTCGTTCATTTGTTTCGACTTTAACAAAAAGTTATTTTTCTTTTTGTATACATATATATGCAAATATGTATGGCCTGAAGGCAATGCCTGTGTTGAATAAAGGCAACCAGGGTTCACAATAAGCTTTCATAAGTTTTTAATACACACGTTCCTCGGTAACCTTCTAAAATTGTAAGCTTTTATTTTGAATAATTTTCGCATTTAAATATAACCCATTTAAACTATATAAAAAATATAAAAACGTAATGAATAAATTTTTAATTTGAAAAATATTAGTCACCTAAGGGAAGTAATTAGTAATACTTACACGCTTGATATACATCAACATAATATTAATAAATTAGCTAATTATAATAAAAAATAGCAATACTTAATTATATTAGAAGGTTATAAAAACGTTTAGATTTCAATCTAAATTAAATACATATAGCTAGGACATATATTTAAAGTGAATGTTTTATACTAAGTAGATCAATTAAAAAATGCATAAATTTCCGTATTTTCCGTTTCTATATGATAACTAACGGACATCTGGTCCACCCTGACATTCGGTAAACTTGAACGCGACAGACGAAACTCGAAACTCGATATACCGAAAATGTCTTATTTAGCAATGTGTTTGCAACCGTCGAGTCGTTTTGTTTAAAAGCTCTTGTCGAACAAAAATTTAAAATATTTTTTGTATGTTGCTTACAATACTAGTGTATAATAATAGTGTTGTATTTTTAAAACTGTTGTTTTATGTGTATTTATTTGTTACAGTGACAATGGATATCTTAAATAGGATAGTGGCGGGTTATCATGACCTAATGGATAACAAAAGTGATCAACGAGTGAAGGATTGGTTCCTGATGTCATCGCCGTTCCCTACATTAATGATATGTCTCACTTATGTCTTTACAGTCAAAGTAAGTAATAATAATAAGACATTAAATCTGTTTAAAGTTATTGCAACATCCATATATATAAAAGAAAGTCGTGTTAGTTACACTATTTATAACTCAAGACCGGCTTTACCGATATGGCTGAAAATTGGTGAGGAGGAAGCTTAGAGCCAGAAGAAGCACATAGGATATTATTTATTCACTTTTTTTTGGAATTCATGTCATGAAGAGCTGCTTTTTATTTAACTTACTAATATTATAAATATTCGCATGTGATATATCCACGCGGACGGAGTCTCGGGCGACAGCTAGTTTATTATACAATTAAAAACACAAAAAAAACTAACATAACGCACAAAAAAAAGATCAAACAAAAATTACAATTAGGAGTTGCAATGCAGAACATATAGGGCTTTTGCTCAGCAAATAGCTTTTGTTAATTCAAGAATAATTTAAATTAAACAAGTTTAGTGATTTGCCTACAAATGTTTATTAATATGCAAGTTATTTTATGGTTGTCTCGCAAGTTCAAGACAATTATGTCATGTGTCAATTCCTTTACGCCACAATAATTACAGCGGAATACTAATTGTGATTATTTGCAGGTGCTCGGCCCCAAGTTGATGGAAAACAGAAAACCTTTCGAACTAAAGAATGTGCTCATATGGTACAACCTGTTTCAAGTTATTTTTAGTTGCTGGTTGTTTCACGAGGTAACTATTTTAGTGCTTTTATATTTTAACATATAAAATTATCTTCAGTTTCCGAGAGATCGAAATATTTAATTATAAGAATCTTAGTTTCATGACCTCTTTGCTAAATCTCATTGCCAAAGACTCTCAATGGACGCTATTCAATCAGCTTAGGGTCCTTCAAGAAGCGAGCTTATATATCAAAGGTCGGCAACACATCTGCGGTTCCTCTGGTATTGCTGATGTCCATCGGCGTCGTTAAACACCTCGGTGTTCCCGCTGCCCATTTGCCCCCTTCTGTTATAAAAAAAAAAACTTACCGTTGGTTTCCGAAATTAAAATCTCTGTTTACAACACATCGTCAATCAGAGATAACAATTATGTTTTAAACGGGGATGTTGTCCTTAGAAATCCACTCTTAGAGCTATAAGTTTCTAATTAAATTTAGAATCGTATTATACCCACCAAGGGAAATAAATTTGTCGGTGTATAATTGTCTATTCCACTTTCTTACAGAGCATAGTAAGCGGTTGGTTCAATGGATACAGTTTCCGTTGTCAACCAGTCGACTACTCAAGATCGCCTGAAGCGATGCGTGTAAGTATAAACATATAGAACTATTATATATACATACTTTAAGACATTATTAGTTAGAATCCTTTCGTTACCAAGTCAAGTGTCAGAATGATTAGTGAGGGGACATAAACGTTGATATATTAATAAGGCTAGTGTGGCGCCGATACACCGGCACAATGTCTGATTTTCTTCCTAACAATTCTTTTATACACATAGACTTAAAAGTATTAAAAAAAATAGATTTTAAGAATACCTTTACCTAAGAATCCGTCACGGCTTATAATCTGGATTAGCTCACGGTGTTTGTTACTCATGGATGACAGCTAAGATAACTAAGAGCCAAAGCACTCTAGAGCGATGAGCGATAGCAATGAGCGTTCCTCCATATATGCTCATATAGATTAAGCGCATGATCAAAATACCAGGCGACTAAAAGTGTGCGGGGGCCTTAAGAGATACTTATATTAGCCTTATGTTACTTAGTAGTATTCTAATTTGATTATTTCTAATAGACTTTTTTGTTAACAGACGGTGAGAGGATGCTGGTGGTATTACTTTTCAAAATTCACAGAATTCTTTGATACGGTAAGTTTTCTTATATTAAATACATAACGTAAAGACAAGATTTCTTTATTTACTTATCAATAACATGGAAATAATAAAACGTTTTATGTTTTTTACGTCAGTTAAACAGACGTCAGTAACAAAGTCTCAATGTTTGTGTTTGTCAACAAACAAGACTGATCTGTCTGTCCGTGCGTTTAGCTTCTTAAAATATGAAAATGTAATCTTTGTGATAACTACTAGTAGTTCCCATCATTAGGTTGATAAATTATATTACTCAATCGCCTACTTACTCTTCTTCCTAAGAGGGGGAAGAGAGTAGAGGAAAGGTTGAGGGGAGGTCATAGTATGTAATAGGTAATCTTCTAATTATTGTCAACTGACGTATCTGATTACGATCCATTTTTTCCTCTTTCACGCAACTCATTCCATACTTTATTTGGTTTCCTAAGTTTGCAGCCATATTCCATCTTCAAATTATGTTACTAAATACTACTACTATTTAAATATTACAATACTAATTTAATTATTATCATTTCAATGTTTCAAATTCATAAATTAATTAACAAGTTTAATTTTTTATATGGCCTTTTCATTCTTACATTTCCCAATATTTCCATGACTAAACAATATCAGAGTGTCAATCCATTGTAACGTTGTGATCAAATATTTGGACATCAATTTAGTGAATTGTAGACGTTGTTACTTACGCGTACACATGACATTATCAACATTACAGATGTTTAGTACATAGTAATTTAAAACGTATATAAAGGACACTCAGTTTATATATTCTTGATTACGTAAGATCTATTTGCATATATATTAATTGCTCATAAAATTACATAGTTTAGCAATAATCTTACAAATATTATAAATGCGAATGTTTAGATGCATGGATGGAAATATGTTTGACAGTAGGTTTCTGCAGAACGGCACAACAGATCGCGACGAAATTTGATATGGCCATAGATAATAGTCTGTAAGAAAACAAAGGCTACTAATTAACTTTTTTAATCCTCTGAAAGGAGACAGGAACAGCTAGTTTTACATTTAACAATACAATTTCACAATATTATCAAATCGTTTTAGGTGTTACGTATTAGCACATAAATAATTTTCTTGTCTTTTAGATTTATTGGCTACATATGTACTTTACATAGACGTTAAATGTAAATGTTGCGTACATTCGCAACACATAAATAAATAAGTATGTACGTCACATTACATAATATGTATTTATTTAAATGGAATAATTTATACTAGAACAAAAGAGTGTTATTTTCTTTCAAAGATATTTAGTATATATTTAGTGTATATACGTCCGGATGAACAAAATAATTTAATTCAGACTTCAAAATATAAAATAGTATTTTTTAATAACAAATTATGCGTTTCCATAGTTTATTAATTAGTTCTCACATTTTTATGATACAACTTAATTCTTACAAGGTTATTATAAATTGCAGATCATTAATAAGGTGAAACGAAATCGATTAAGTTAACCGGAAACGTCGTCATGGTCACTTCAAACGGTACCGCCCACATGTATATGATACATATTTTAGGACTGATATGTATATAGCGACCTTCGATTTATATATGTTAGTTACTAGCTGTCGCCTGCGACTCTGTCCACGCGGAATTAAACAAAATTTAATTAGTAGCCATTCTGGAGGAACCTTGTAACCAACAAACATACATGTATCGTTCCATCCATCCATCCAAACATTCGCATTTATAGTATAAGTAAGATGTGTATTTTTAGTACGGATTTCCATTTCATTAATAAAGTCAATTTGAAAAAATGTGCTTTCTCCTTTAGTCTTAATAGCCTGGCCGATTGCACCAAAATGTAATTCGCTTTGTATTGTTTTTTTTTGTTTCTCTTGTTACAGTCCAGTTGTTTAATTAATTATTGTCTGTTAAAATGAATGACCCTATTCCAGATCTTCTTCGTAATGCGCAAGAAGTTCGACCACGTTTCGAAGCTGCATGTCATTCATCACGGCATTATGCCGATGTCAGTCTGGTTCGGCGTCAAATTCACGCCCGGTAAGTAATCAATATTAAAGATAAATAGTACAGTCGCCTTCGTTCTCGGTGTATCAGTTACAGAAAAAAAACCAACATGTAATGTTTAAAATAAATAAAAAACAAAAATTCAGTGGACTTGATCCTTTTATTATCGTTTAATTAATACTATGGTAACAAGATTTTTGGACCTTTATTGTTCTAAAGCGTAAAAAACGATCAAACGATTAACACTTTTATGAAGGTGGCATACGGCCAGTGAAGACCACTGTACTTATTTGTGTGTAGCAATGTAGTACTATTAGTTGTAGAAAAATTATCATATTAATTCTAATTGGTATATACCATGTTTTAAAATGTCATATATTTCTCAATACATTTTTTAATTACATACTTTAATCCTTAAAAATAGTAGCACTGCAAAATTGTAATATCGAAATGGTTAACTACACACTTATTTATTCCGTCTCTTTGGAAAACATGTCCTAGCTAGTTTAATCTTCGAGTATTTTCTAGACTAAATACAATAAGATGACCGCGTCAGTAATAAAACAGCACTCCCATGAGCAAATACACGATGACGAGGACCTCTTATTTGAACAACTTCAGAGGACAAAGTCTATATTTCGACGGTGGCAATCGTGACATAAGCTTTTGAGCATGTGATGAATGTTCTCGATTCAATTCATAATATAAAACAGTCTCACACGAACATACCTTTAATCTTTTTTAAACGGAGTTAAGTACATCATTCAAACAACTAACAAAGACTAGTTGTCGCCCGCGACACCGTCCGCGCGGAATTAAAAAAACATAATGAGTAAATAAAGTTCAAATTGACTCAACATTTTATTTAGAAAACTTTAATTTGGAAAAATAAAAGGTCTGTTTTTAGGGTTTTCCTAACAATTATGTGATTTTTCTCACCTTTGAAACCTTCCCTAGACCTCCACGAACATTTCAAGACCATGATAAGATAAATCTGTTCAGCCGTTCTCGAGTTTTAGCGAGACTAACGAACAGCAATTGATTTTTATATATATTGATTATTATAATAATTAAAGAGAAACAAAAAAATAGAGCAAATTAAATTGCTTATAGCTAAAAAATCTGGTTTAAAAACAAGTTGGTGCCAACGCCAGATCAATTATACATGAGTGTAGTTTTTTTTCTACTATTTGATGATATCGACGGAACCATGAGACGTAGAATCGTAGTGCACCGACCTGTTACTATATCAAAGGAAGTTTTATATAATTATCGTCATGAGTTATGCAAATATAAATTTGAATATTTTAACAATTTAATCACACTTTAACCAGTTTATACTGGTGATATTTAAAACATATTTTATATTCATCTCTACTTGATTCCACACATTTTAACTTTTAATTTAACAGGTGTACGTACAAATTTGCTTTCTATTTTATGTTCGATTACAAATATTTTATAATTATCTGGAGCCATTTTTAATATAACCTTGTTAACTAAAATAAATTCTTTATTTAATTTAATTAAAATGAGGATATTGCATATGACAAATCAAACTATTCAAGGTCACCTAAAATAACGATATGGCAAAGTGTGAAAAGTTTTTCTTTCGTTTTCCTGATGTAAGGAAACTCTCGTCAAATTAAAGTCAAATTATTTTGACCTTTAGTGTTTTTGCTTTTCTTTTTTAATGAATAATTGTGAAAAATAATGTATAATTAATTAGTTATTTTTTTCCCTGGTCGTTTTGGTACAATTTTTAACATTAACTTTATTTTTAACTTTTAGCTTTATATTAACCTTTAATAAATGCGAAAGTTCCCACACCGCTACGATTTAGAGATCAAGAAGCAAGCATACATATTTCTTTAAGGACGGCAACGCAACCGCGTTTCCTCTGGTGTTGCGGATGTTCATTGACCTCGGTGACCTCTTTTCATTGAGGTTTTTTTTTAAAATAAATTTATTAAATTAAGCAACAATCGTTGATATGCCAACATATGTAAATCTTAAAGATTGTAACGGTGCATGATTTTTAATTAATTTAAGCGGATGAAGGCCATTTTATTGGAAAAATCCTTTAAAGCGAGGAAGTAAAAAATAATACATTTAGAACAGGTCGCAAATCAGCGTTATTTTTGAGTATTCAAAGCCTGTATCATTATTGCATACTAATAAGATAATTCTTCTTTGTAACACAAGATTTATTCAATTTTAATAAACAAGTTATGCTACGCATTTAGATTTTTTTTCTATTAAATTCCTAATGTAATTTATTCGTTGTAGGTAGCTTTAACAATTGGAAACGAATATACTTACATATTAATTAGTTCCTGAAGAAGAAAATAATTCCGTGTAAAGTTATTTTCGCATTATAATAATAGTTTTCGAGTATCTTTTTTTTTTACGAAAATATTTTAAATGTACGTGAATAAAGTGCATGTTTTTGTTTCATATTTAACAGCGAATTTTCACTGTTAAATATATTAAATTATTCAAACTTTCGTGAGCCATTATACTAAACTGATATATAAAAACGGCTAAACACTCACGTATATTCGTCCGGTGGCGGCACCGACTAGTTTCGAGCCCATCGGGGGCCCTTCATCAGGATGAGTGGTACTGGTATTATTATTTTTTCTATATCACTGTGTGAACTCACTCAGAGTGAGCGTCGGGCCGCGTCCGCGAAATAATGCCAGTACCACTCATCCTGACGAAGGGCCCCTGATGTGCTCGAAACTAGTCGGTGCCGCCACCGGACGAATATACGTGAGTGTTTAGCCGTTTTTATATATCAGTTTAGTTAATTATATTGTTGATTGTTTTATTTTTGAGAGCGATTATTTGGTTGTTGTGTTTTGTGTTCAGGTGATACGATATAATCACAACGTAGATCAAGTTTATTACAATTAAAATTACACTCTGGCCACTAAAAAATAAAACGATCCCGACAATAGTTAAAAAAAATAGACAAAAAAAACATTATCAATTGTGATAAGAAACAAAATCCAACATCTATTTCACATGATCATGCTGTGTGTTTATTAATTTTACATTTCCTGTTGTACGTAATTAATTGTAAAAGATCGCTTGTAGCGACAAAGCCGCTTTTTCCCACATTTAAAATTTTAGTTCATTGAAAATTCCTCTTTTAATCTGAGCAATAAAGTATTTATCTAGGCGTGTAAACTCTAAAGTAATATAGACTAAAGATATACATATGTTAATATCCTTTACTTTATATTCGTTAGTCTTATTCTCTAGTCGTCTGTAATGACAATGATACTATTTTTTCTTATCTGTCATGCGCAGTCGAATCTCGCCTGCCAGATACAACGCCATAAGACCTACTTGATTTGTCATCATTATGTCATTTTGTTGTCTCCACACAGGTGGTCACTCAACATTCTTCGGCATGCTTAACACGTTCGTGCACATTATAATGTACTCGTACTATCTGCTCGCCGCACTGGGCCCCAAGGTGCAGAAATTCCTCTGGTGGAAGAAGTACCTCACTGCGCTGCAAATGGTAAGATATTTCGCCAATCATTTCTATAATATCTATTCTAATATCGTTCATTAAAATATTTTTAAATATTTCTTTTCATACATTTTATATTGAAAAATATAAATATTGTTAGAAAGAAAATCCGGAAGTGGGCCAATGTATTGACTCAACACTAGCCTTACTAAAATGTCGATGTTTGTGTCCCCTCACTATTCATTCTGACACTAGACTTTGTAACGAAAGCAAGTCATTTGCGCCAAAGAATTGTATTTAATAATATCTAAAAATATGAATAAATGTTATCTGCAATTTATAATCTAGTATTATAACAATTAAAAGTAGCACGTTAGCTGCAAACGCATCTTTTGGAAGTAGGTGGAGGGAAGCGCATAAACAGCTGTGCCTCCACAACATTTAACGAATACTTTTTTAAATAAATAAGCAAATTTTTAAATAGCTATAATTTTTTTATACACAGCGACTGCTAACCGCTATTAAGTTTTGATAGCACTGTATTAATTGTGAGAAATAATCGTTCCATTTACCTTCTAAAAGCATAAATACTTAATTTATAGTTTATAGTTATAGCATGTAATAAAATATTAATAACGTTCTTTGGAGAGTTACGACTAACACCCTTGACATTTCAACTTTTGTATTGCAACAATCTAATGTTTATATACTTTATTCCAGGTCCAGTTCGTGTTAGTGTTCTTCCACGCGTTCCAGCTGCTGTTCATTGATTGCGACTATCCTCGTGCCTTCGTCTGGTGGATCGGAATGCACGCTGTTCTCTTTTATTACCTCTTCTCTGACTTCTACAAACAGGCGTACCTTAAGAAAGCCAAGGTATGTAAAATTTGTACTACTGAATCAATTTTTAACATGTCTTCTAAGATTATTTTGTTGCTATTACTAATGTTATCTCATACTCGGGACTATCAAATAGAAACTTCACGTCAAGGCTTTTAGGAAATAAGGGACCAATTGAAATTCAAAATAGAGTTCGTGATATCAGATTTTATAATTTAACATATTTGATAATTCTGTAATCAGCGTAAGCAGTAAGCAGTCAGCGGCTTTTGGCCTTGATTAATAAAAGGAAATCTGCCTTGTATGACTTCATTTAATTGCATTTTATTTTACTTCCTTATATTAAATTGAGTAAACAACACCAATAACGTCATTATTTGAAAGTTGTCCATATTTGAAATTTTATTTCTAAATTCAAACAATGACAACGTAAAATATTTAATTTTTGTTTAAATTGCTTTTAGTTTTCTTATCTAAGCTAACGTCTTAAATAACGTCGTAAATTACGAATTAAAGCAAACTATATTCTAATAAAGTATTAAAGACATGTTATTATTTAAATAACAGTATTTATTAGTTTAAATGTCAATTTATACAAATTTTGTAGATAAGTTATACAAAGTTTGCATAAAATTTACTTTAATTTTGACTTGTGTTTTTAAAGAATTAAAATAATTATTATTCCATAGATTGCGAAGGCCAAAGTAAAGGTAGAGATGGATACGTGCAAATCGGAGACAAAGGAGGGAAAATTGTCTCTCTTGAACGGCTTCAGCAATGGGTCCGCGCTGAGCGACGTACGACAACGTATGGCGGGCGCTGTCGCCTCGCAATGAAACAACCTGTTATGTCATATGCCGACATATTTAACTGTGATGAACTTTCCTGGCGCAATAGCGCGATGTTTACCTAATAAACTTACTGCTACACTCAGAAACGTTTTATCGCTTCGTTAAGAGACCCTTTGTCTAGATTTGTTGTATTAAATCTTGGGTAAGGGACTACCTTAATGACTTCACGTCTCTGAGTACGGCAGTCCGTTATTCGGAAGAAGCTCAATTAGTGACAATATAATTATTTTTAATAATTAGTTTTATTTGATAAAACTCTGATGATGTAGAGTTTTTTTTGCAATGGTAATTATAAGTTTAGCATATATCTTAGTTCTAAAAATACTTTTATTATATAAAATTGTTTAACAAAATAAGACTAGTATGTACAAATAAACCTATCGTAGTAATTTTCATATCGTTTTTGATAAAAATACTCGATTATATTTGTATTTTACGTTGTCTTATTTTGTATACTTTCATTTTTTTAGAAGGAATTATTTTAGTTTTGTAATTTCCAAAGGTCAGTTAAGAAACGAAATGTGGTTTTGTATTCTCAATGTTAAAAGTAATTTTAGTTTTCTCAATTGCAAGCAAGTCAAAGGGTCATAAACAAAACAGTTATTTACAAAAGCCCCCACCGTTGTTGACTTGTTTATCTAATATGATAATTTTATATGTATATTTTATCCCATTTTACCTGTAGTATATACCAAAGTTTATGTATATATATTCCAAACATGTATAAAATATTTTCATGTCACAAGGTTTTATTTCTATACAATAAACTTAGTACTTAAAAATACTAAAAACAGTTCAGTTCGGGTAAAAATCAGGCTTATAAATAATTTTACTTGTATAAGGCAAAAATAAATAACGATATTAAAAAATATGACTGTTTATACTTTTATAGCTCTCATTCAAAATACGATAAGAATTATTCAAAAGTTTTGGTAAGCTTAATCTGTGGAATGATTTAAAAAAAATAACGCATGTAGACTTTGTCAGCGTGAATACCAAAGATCAATCCATCATTTAACCGTCGGCTTTCATTGCCGCGACATATAATATATTGTGGTCCTCCACATTCATTAAACAATAAAACAAAGATCACAATAATATGAAATGGTATATCATCAGTGTAAACTCACAATTATTCAACAAGAAATAAGTTGTCGTAGGTTAATAACTAATAAGGTATAATATCTGCTTACAAACTATTTGCGCTGTGCAATAGAAAAAATCTAGATGGTTCATTTAATTGCAGCAGGAAATGTAACAGCTATTGTAAATGTAATATTTGTTTTTGACTTGCAATTATTATCTTTAAATGTATATTGAAGCAATTGTTAATGTATTTTTTATTTGCGACGTGTATTAAAATAAATCATAAATACTTATATGGCATTTTTATTGAACAATCTCCTCGATAGTGCAACAGATAGCAAAAAAATCTCTTTTGAAATTGTTTTTACGCAAGAAAACATCTAGAGCTATGCCCTCTATTTCCATTTAAAACAACATTTAGTTACGAAGGCACAGCTCTTGAATTTCCGGATTATAAGCCCGGAGAAAACTACGTTTCGTAAATTAATTGCACTGCGACAGTCAAGTTGATTTAATAAATTCCTAAATTATAGAAAAATAAACTAATATTACATATTATAGAAAGACAAAACACTGTTAACCTTGAGTTTCTAAAACCAAAATCTTCGTTTAAAATATATTGTTATCTCCGCTTTGTCGAAGACAATTACAGGGATATGTTTTATACAGATATTTTGGTCTCAAAAACCTTTTGCTTATAAGGAAAGGATGGGAAGTGGAAGTGGACTTTCCGGATGAGTGGATGCATGGAAAGGAAAAATATTTTCTTTCTGTGCATCCTCTCCTCCGTCGATTAAAGGTAGGCAATAATAAATAAATATGCAATTGCGTATGTCTATGGGCAACGGTCACTTCGCTATTTCAGCGATTTCAGGTCGCTCGCTCGTTTGCCACCTTATGATATAAAAAAAATGTTGTGTATATTTTCATCTTTTGACCATACTAATATTATTAATTACAAATTGACAAATATTTTTAAGTAAGTTACTTAATTTTGAGGAACAAAAGCACTATATTTTATCTTGGGTACCGCGTATTCTTATTGTAACTACTGGTCAGATAACTTCAAAGTAGTTTTGTTCTAGAAGAACCATGATAATTCTATTCATTTGGCCATCGATCTTGACTAGCTTCTCGTAAGGGCTATAATTTCCTTTGAATTTTCTTCCTTTATCATGGAAGTTATTCCGAAGAAATCCTTGGAACGATTCCGGCATCAGGATGTCCTCCTCATTATTTCAATGATTGGAATTTCACAAACGCAAGATTCTTAGATAAATTGCCTATTAATAAATAATATAAATTCTGTACAATTGCTTTTTGTAGGGATCTGGCGGCAGTGGTACAAACAACTACGACTTAGGGTTTATAAAGAGAATATCTCCCTTCCTAAATTACCGGCAGTAAATCTACCTACTATTTCCTCTTGTGCAAAGAATTTCATGGGCGTTAAACAATTTAACATTAGGTAGTCCGGTGCTTGTTTTTACAATTAATTTTAATAAAAAAAAACACTAATTTATAATAATTACAAATCCAATTGACCTTAAAGTAATCGAAGTTCAATAGAACGAGGAAATATATGGAAAAATTCCGCCATCTCATTACAGAATGAACCTTAACAATTTGCGGTCCTTGACCGTGCCACCGACACCAGTACCGTAAGTTGTTTACTGCCAACTAAGGTCATTTCTAATGCCCATTTTAATAGATGTGTAATTAATACGTTTGCGATCTCGTTTGACGTATATTAAGTTTTTAATTCATATCTGAAGCATTAATTTGCAGCATAATAGCGTAAATCAATGATTAATTACATTAATTTACGTTTAAAGTCTAATGTTTAAAAAAGGATTTCTCATTAAGAACAAAAATCTCAATAGATATACATCATCACCAGATCACAATACGTCCCCACTGAGGGGCTCAGAGCCTACCCTAAATCAAGGGTCCTAGGAATTTTCTAGGAATTTCTAGGAAATGTGAAATTAACTTAGCGAGAGGCTTTATTTAGATGATGGCAATGCAACTGCGATTTGAAGAAAGACAGGGATTTTGACTCACGAACGTCACGAGGCAGATAGTTCCATCTTAGTTTTTTTTTTTGGTAGAGATTTCAAAGATTAAGTAAGTATAATATATTATGTCTACAGCTTATTATAATTTTCGTATATCACGCATTGTGATGATTACTTACAGTAAGTGAATAGTAGATTTAATATATTACAGTTTTTGTTGATCTTTAGTTTGAGGTTTTCGAGGTTAAGTATATTACTAACGAATACTTTAACATAACTTATAATAATTAATGATCACATTATTTTTATATTTAGTTATTTATTTATTTATTAAATAGGTACATCAATTGCATGTTTAACAACCACGAGCATATACATTTGTATATGCTCGTGTTATTTAACACACATATAATACAAACAGAGGAACATACAGATGACAGGCGTAAATAACATTCATTGGACAAGGTTTAGATATAAAGATTGTATACAATGTATATGACCGTTTTCTTTTTGAAAAGAAACATGATTGGAATACAAATTATTAAAAAAAATACTTTTATAATTAATAATTTACGCGATAAACTAACCGTAGATTACTGAGACTATATCTGTGTTTAAAATGTATCGTCGTTAACAATATGTTTTAAACGGGACGTTTGGTCTGGTCGTTCCATTTCGTTCCGTTCTGCGCCTAGCCTAGACCCGATAAATGCCCATCGATTGCTTGCCTCTTTAGCGATTGGGGGCGGTCCTTGGGGGCCCTGATGTCGGCGATGAGCACCTTCTTGGCTGCCCGCACTTGAAACTTTTTTTTATATTTTTGTTTATTGTACATTTTAAATAATAAGATTATTTTAAGAAATACACACCAGTACTTGTGAGACCAGTAAAAAAAATAATTTAAAGTGCCTAAGTGCTGTATTAATTAGAGACGACTTCTGAATTTTTTCTTCAGTTCCTTGACTTTAACAATCAGGTGATGAGCGTAAAAAAATGTTTAAATTTAATGTAATTTTTTTTCTTAGTCACCACTTATGTAGCAACTTGGGATTGTTAAGTTACTTAATATTATGACTTTTTAATAATGTTTTTCAAGTTAGTAAAAAATTAAGAACATTTAAAATATACGCAAAATTTAAATTGCATTGTAAAAGGAACGTTGATTAACTCAGTTCAATAAAAAGAAAATTTTGCAAACTTGAAGTTCTCTTTCTGGTCGTGGCCTATAACGCAATCATTTTCTGAAATTACCTATCAATATCTTCGAAGTCTTTTTCTTGAATATTATTCTGTAAATTAATTCATACAATGAATATTTGTTGTGATCTAAAAATTATATGCTATGTTCCTTTTTCTAATAATACATCTAAACTTGATTAAGGCCAAGACAATTACACTAATTACGTATATAATGTTTTTTAAATACAATTTATGATTTTTTTTGTTAGAACCTTTTTTTGCTGGATTTTATAGTTTTCATGGACTGTTTCTTCTTCATTACGGCTACAATTAAAATTTTTGTTTTAGGAAATTGTGTTGTAAAAAATTTAATTGTGATTTTACGCAATAAATCTGGATTTTAAAAACCAAAACTTGTATGCCATTTTATTATTTTATAATCTACATATACTATCTATATGATACGTGTATAGTGTTACTTATATATTTATTCTTATTATTAGCTGTCGCTCGCAAATCTCTCAAAGAAAACTTTACAATGTGCTCTTCCAAGTCATGTTCTGTACCCATGCCAAATTACATCAAGTTCCGTTTAGCCGTTCTAGAGATACCTTCTTACACCCATCTATCCATCCATAGAAACAATCCCATTAATACTATTGGTTAGATTTAGCTTAACCTTTGCGCAGTTCATTTGTGTTATATCTTTCTTATGCGCCATCTAGTATTGAAAACTGTAGTTTATTTAAGACGTACATACTAAAAAAAACATTTTGAGCGTTTCTGCTACTTGCCGCTAGATGTCGTAGCAAGAAGCACGACCGTGAATGACGTGAGAGTCTTAACTTGGAAGGCAAAAGCGCATTTCATTCGCCATTTAATTAAATATTTAAGTTTAGTATTAAAAAAACCAGTAGCATCTTTCTATATTTTAATTTTATTTGATAATTTTTGCCTGGCCAGTATTGATACAAGAAGCTATACTCGTATTTACGTTTTGGGTTCTACTCCTAGCAAATAAACATGTGCAAAATTATAATCACACTGTACAATCCTATTTCTTTTTAATTTAGTAATTATTAGCAGCAACTGAAAAGTGTTGCATAGCCAGCCCGTAAATTCAGAAATTTAAACAAAGTTTACAAACTATATTAAGTGCAATAGGTATTAACTAAAAATAGTTTTATTTTTATATATTTTTAGAGAACAAACCTTCTATGATTACTGTAGCATTCGTTGCGTTATATTTGGCTCGTTCTACGTGAACCGACACGTGCTACCAGTCCTAAGGTCTAACATCGACTGATTGAGTGAGTGATGTGTACGCTTGAGACAAACAACGATACATATATGTATACACTACAATTACCCTTACTATCTTTTTCATAATCGTGAATTCGAAATTAAAAAAAAAAACATACTAAAGGGTTGACCAATAAATCAGCTACAAAACTGTATAAAAACTTATTGCTCCACCTAACATTTATTTTTAGCTAAGGATATTTCCGGGACTGTATTTAGGTTATATAAATTCTGTACATATATCTAAGATGTAATTTCACCATACATAATTACAATTTTTTACCGTAATATACCGTTTACGATGTAAGTGAGTACTGTTTAAGGAAGGGTTTAACGCAAAATACTTACGACTCTGCCAAGATGCACGTGCCTGTCATCAGAGTGTGTCGCCATCGGATTCAATGAACATTACCTTTCTAATTACCTCGATTTAACTTGAAGTACATTTAATACATATGATGTAAATTGCATACAAATTATATATTTAATAAGGAAAAAACATAAATAATACAATGCATATATTATAGGGAAATATCCTGACTAATTGATAAAATCAATCATTAGTTTTTTGTCTGCTTTTCCTATGTTATTTTTAATACTAAATTTTTTAATCATAAGAACCATAGATTTTAAAGTATTTAATTCAGTTTTTATTTTTTTTATTTATAAATCAAAATCTACCTAATAAGTTATAGTTGACTTGTTTTTATTCACATTTATATGGAGTTTTATGTTTATTATAATAGTAATATGGATGAAAGATTATTTTAAAAGAAATCTCAAAATTTGTTTCTTAACCATTCACATACTTGTTGACTATTTCGCACGCCTTGAAGTAAATATTACAAAACCATCATTGTCTTTATAAAAATTTTATTTACAATTATTTATTTTACAATAAGTCGTTACAACTTACTTCTCGTGTGTGGCTAACAAATACTTGGATTGAATAATTTCACAACTGCCATTGTAAGGCTTGCAATTATTACATAGTACAACTTATACTAATTGGAAAAGACATATCACAAAAATAATTTAGGGTAACTTTAATACGAGCAAGCCTCAATAGATATTTTAATATAGAACTGGCAATTTTTCAGTCTGAATGAAACATAATTTAATTTAAATAAAACTGTAGGCGTATTTACAAATTAATTGTACTTTGTGTTATTTCGTCTTACAACTATATTTGTGACTACTTACACGATTCCACATAAATTGTGCACTGGCAGTGATTATATTAATGTTAGGATTTTGCTTAATTCTTACGATAAAATCTTGAATGTGTTTTGAGTATTAATTCTAACAAAACAACTAAAAACGTTATTAACTTAAATAATGTTGCTCAAATCGATGCTTCGAAATCATAACTTAGAAACGAATTTATTAAGGCAACTATATTAATGGCAATTTGTAACTTACGCTTTAGTATTAGTTCTACCAAATTCTTCTATGTGGTCGTATTCTGAAAAGCCAGGGTCCGAGTCGTAGTATGCGTAATCGTAGCTGTTGTCTTCTTTATTGATAGCCTTCGAGTGATGATGCGGATGATGATTAGGTTTTGGAACGGGGGTAGATGGAATGGATACAGGATCTGTTTGTCTATTTTGGTTTCTTGTATTTTCATATGTCCTCGAGGGTGATGCACTTGTTATTCTTACGGGAACGTTCTCCCCGTTGTTAGTATGTCCTGATGCTTCGAAAGGTCTAGATGTTGTAGTATATGTTTGATAGTAGTCGAACGTCCGCTGTGTGTTGTCCGAGATGGGTCTGTTTGTTGTTGGATAAGTTACTTCAGCAGTACGCGACGTGATTGTAGGCGCAGCGGGAGTCGGAGCTGGTCTGAAAGGTCTCGGCGGTGAAGTTTTTGCGACAGGCTTTCGAGAAATCTGATTTTTACTTTGCTCCTTCTGGTCTTCGAAGAGTCTGTTACCGCTAGCAGCTATGTTAATCGAGTGAGCACCAGATAGAAGCTCTTTCTCGTACAACTCGGGCCTATACTGTCCGTCGTCCTCTCCCTCGGGTGGTCGATATTGGCCGTCGTCTTCGTTGCTGTCCGCGAAGTTAGAAGTTTGTGCATTGAAGGCGTTGTTAGTATTATATGCTATGGTATTTAGACTTTGTGAAGGTTCATATCTTGCGGTCGTTGTTGTAGTGTAGTATATAGTAGTGGTAGGAGAAGATGTGGTTGTTGGATTATTGTAATAATTTTGTTTCGAGCTTGAGAATTGGTTATAATTGTTTTTCTCTGGTTCGTATGCGATACTATTGATATTTTTGTAAGAGGACGTAGTAGTTATATAATTACGCGTGGTAGTGCTGTAGTCTATAGTATTAGGAGTACCTCTTTCAGCGTTGCCGTTGAAAGGCTGGTTTCTTAGGAAATCGTTTTCTTTGGGCACGTCAGGCACTACGCTAAAACTATTTCTTACTTTGAATGGGCGATTCTCGTTCTGTTTGAAAGCGGGCGTCGATTGTGTATCATACTTGTACACTTCACCGAAACCAGTCTTTTTCGATTGTTCTGTCGTCGGCAGAATAAAAGGCGTCGGTGTCGGACTGTTAGGGAAGTACCTATTAGGTTTCGGCGTCACTCTGCTAACCTCAACATATTCCTCTTTGTATTGAGGTGGAATATTCGGAGTCGAAGCGATACTTTGCGTATTTTGCGAAGGGATTCTTCGATTGTAATTTTTCGGTTGTTCGGAATAAACTTGAGGAGCGAAAGTATTCGGAGGGAACGTCACAGGTGACTGTGTGGTCGTGTAAATGGGGCGTTTTCTTGCTACTTTACGTTTGAGCGCTTGCTCGTACTGATTACCCTTTTGTGATGCGGGCACAGTTGAGGAGGAGGGCGAAGGGTGATATGTGGTGTAAGATGTGGATGGGGGAGTCGGGCGCGGTGTTGTAGGCCGTCGGAATGACTGCCGCGACTGTGGGGCCTGTGCTGACGGCGGTTGCTGCGCTTGTGGGGCGGATTGTACGAGGTCGTCACGACCTCGGTCTCGCTGGCCGCTGAAGAAGTCCGAGGAGTGAGCGGCGCGGAGGTCATTGTTGGCAGCAGGGGCTGCGGGGGCGGAGTGCTGCGCTAGGCGTCGGTCGCCGGTCTCCGCGCGTTGCAGACCGAACTCGGACTCATCTTCGCGATTGCCTTGAGATAGTTTCTTAGTGTCAAAACCTGATTGTAAAAAGCAATTATAATATATTAGGGAAAGTTTAATTGCAGTTGATATTTCTAAAAAAGCCTCACATTGAAAATCGCCTCTACCATTTTGTTTAAGCGCTTCATTAAAGCTTAGCGTTCATTACTCGCAAGTTTGTTTTAAACGAGGCGTTTTACATGTAAAATAGAAAATATTAAACAACCAATCAAGCTTTTAAATTAAATATCTTATTTCAATTTCAAGCGATTTACGTTTGTTTCCAATAAACGTTGTCATGTTATATCAGCATCCTGCTACAATTCGCAAGTTATTGTTAAAATCATGAAAGCATTTACCAAACAGCATTTGAAAGCTTCTACCGAGAAATTTCCATTGATCACATACGTATAAGACTTATGAATATTTACAAAAATATCTATTTAGTTAATAATAAACTATTTAATAAAACTAATTAATTAAACTACCAAAATAATACTATAAACTATATACTAAAACTAAACCAAACTAAAAATAAAACTAAATAATATAAAAAATCGACCCGAAATCGAGAAATAAATTGAACCGGTAATTGTTTAACAGAGGGCACCTGATACAGATATTGCACAACATCTTCATCATTGCTGTAAGGTTAGCTTAAGTTATAAGTGCGTTAGTAGCGAAGCGCTCACCGGATCCGATCTTGTAGAGATCGAACTGACCGTCGTAGATGTCGGGGCAGGCGAGTGGGTCGTCGTCACCCCAGTCGGTGCATGTCTGTGCTTCCTGGTGGAACAAAGTGCCGGGCGGACAGAAGAAGCGGAAATCGCGGACGCCGCCGCCCGCAACACGCACGCACACGTGGAACGCCTTGCAGCCAGACTTCGCGTCCGCGTAGTACGCGCCTAGGATACGTCCCCGGCAATTGAATCTTTCCGCTCCACCTGCATACAAAATTTTATAAGTTCATCATCGTCAAAGGCAGACCCAGATATTTTTAAGATCATGCTTATTCATTCATACCTATAAAGTGCTTCTGCTAATCTATATAAATGTATTTTTCTAGTGATTCTTTTAATTCATTTAACAGTGGTAGAGCCCGCTTTAACATCTTCGCACGAATCGGCCCGGCTCGCCCGGTGAAATACCACGACCACACAGAAGACAGGCGTGAAGTGGAAGCAATTCCGCGTTTCGTCTGATGAGTGTGCGTCCCGGAGGCCTAATTTAGTCCTCTTTCCCTTCCCACCCTTTTTCTTAGAAGGAGGGGATGGGAAGTGGAAGTGGACTTTCCGGAAGAGAGGATGCATGGGAAGGGAAAATATTTTCTTTCTGTGCATCCTCTCCTCCGTCGATTAAAGGTAGGCAACACATATGCGATTGCGTATGTCTATGGGCAACGGTCACTTCGCTATTTCAGAGATTTCGGGTGGCCGATTGCTCGTTTGCCACCTTTTGATATTAAAAAAAAATCACGTGACTTTATTGTTGTTATTATTGATCTTGTGAATTTCGGTACCTGCTTGCAACCAAGTCAATTTTTTTTTAAATTAATATAAATTACCATCGAACAGCAAACATTAGCAAAAAACTTTCATCACATAATTTTGTGAAACAAATCAAAATCGGTTATGATTAGCAAAGCGCAAGTGAGCGCGGTGTATGCAGCGTAATGGCGGCCGGCGGGTCAGGCCACTGATCATCTCCTCTCACCTATCGAGGTCGATTACGTGATCAAATTTGCTATGCTGTTTACCCAACTATGAAGTTATAGGAACATTGGATCTTCCCACGACCAAATTATAAACAGCAGTTATTGATAACGAACCAGACTGTGTTCGTAACCCAGGGATTTTTTTTTATTTCAAAAAGGCGGTAAACGACCAAACTGGTCTAAGATGTAGGTAAGTATTTATCATCATCATCATCAGCTCAGTATACGTCCCCACCAAGGGGCTCGTAGCCTATCCTAAGTTAAGGGTGATTAGGCCATAGTCAACCACACTGGCCAAGTGCGGGTTGGTTGACTTCAAACATATCTTTGAATTTCTTCTAAGAAATGTGCAGTTTGCATCACGATGGTTTCCTTTACCGTAAGAACGTCGGATAAATGTACATATGTAAATCGGAAACACATTTTTACAAGGCGGGATTCAAACCCACGACCTGCAGATTGCAAGTCCAGTGCTTGACCCCTGAGCCACTGACGCTCACAAGTAAGTATTATATTAAGTAAGATTAAATAAATTGCTTATATTTATCTTAAATGTAATAAAATTGACACTTATCAATAATATTTAATAATTACTATCACTAAAATTAAAGAGTAATTTTGCATACAATAAGTCTTTTGCTTAAGTAATATAATTATGTACTCGCAATATGTGGCCAGACCGAGGCAATAACGCATTTCATACTATCTGTGTTAACGCGGTTACAATTTCATTCCAAACTAGAGCACTCCCACACCGAACCTACTAGGTGACAACATTACTACGTGATTAAATATCACTGTTTTATGACACAAGCAGTGCAACATTTCAGTTTGATTTTCGCAACTAATCTATGTTTAAAGACTAAAGGCATTTAGGCCAATAACTGCTGTGTAAGTAATTGTAATTTTTCACCAATTAATTAATCGACAGGAGTTTACTAATCTAGAAATCTATTACAATACTAGCCTTCGCCCGCGACTCCGTCTTATGGAATTTAAAAAACCTTAATTAGTAGCCTATGTGTTCTTCCAGACTGTGTTCTACATCCATGTTAAATTTTATCGAGATCCGTTAGCAGTTCTGGAGATACCTTCAACCAAACATCCATCCATCCATAACATTAGTAAGATCATTATTACTGTAGGCTTTTGAGATGTTATAATTTGTGTTCTACACTTCCTTCCTACTTAAAACACGCATATCTAAAAGTTTGCATAATTAAAAAAAATCGTATAATTTAAATTTCCTGTATTGTGGATGAGGTCTTACGGGTCATATTTAATGGTCAGATTGCATCAGTGAAACATAATGTGGTGAACGTTGTAAGAACGGCATCAGGCGGAGGTTACGCGGTTCCCAAGCGTGCGTGCCGCTGGGAATCTTAACACTTTTAAAAGATTATATGCTATTTAAAAACGGACTTAACTTGATAATTACAAATACTTATTTATAGTTACCTATAGTTTAAATTAATTAGACTAAGTTTAATTTGTTTAGGTTTGATTGTTTAAAGACATATGTTTTTGAGTAATAAATTAGTAAACCAAATATTACTTTTATTTATATGTTAAACAATGTATTGTGGAAGTGAAGAAGGAAAGGGAAGATAGAGATAAGATCAAATAGAATGGTGTTACAATCACAGAGTGCCGCAAGGTGCCTTAGCATCCTCTAATAAAGGTCAGTAGTAATACGCGCCGTTTGTTTGATGCGGAATAATATAATTTACGGTCAGTTTCCACTCTCTATACAGTTGAACACATAGTTAAACATATATTTTAAATAAACTAATCGCATAGTAAGAAAAGGCAAAATTAATGTTATAAAAATAAATTTATAAGAAGTTTTTAAGGGTACAGTTTTAACATGATATGAAAATTTCTTTACATTACTTGAACGTCTTATAAAGATCAGGATCGATCCGAACAAAAACTATCCAATATTCACACAGCTCTGTCACTTCGGCCGTAAAATTGTTTGGCATGAATACAAGCGGTGCACGATATCAACCGTTTCCTCGTTAAGCCGAATCGGGGAGTTTAAACGCGTCTTTTAACACGTAAGTGTAGTTACATGCTTTCCAATTAGAAATTTATGTCCACTTATACTTTCTTTAACAAAAACGTTAAAGTATCGATAGCTAACATTTAAGACGTGAGAATATTATTATGTTATTATTAGTGCCTGAGTTTCCCTTCTTTGCTTCGTTTGAGTAGTTTTGTGACCTTGATATTAAGTAGAAAATCAAATAATTACACTTATGTAAACCATGTTACTTTCCTGAAGAATACGCAGCTTCTAGCATTTATGTTAATGCGTCCTTTAAAGACATAGTATATATAAAACGTAATTCGGAGACAAGTGATGATCTGAACCGGAAAATATCATTTTCTTTTAGCAGTAAGATCTCTTTGGAACGTCATTACAGATACATTTTATTATTACTATTACAAAAGACTATTTTTCGTCAACGGAAATTACATTGCATGTATTTGTTAATATTCGTAATCTTTAGACAATCGAATGCGACCTGTCGTTTGTGACTTGTGACATAACGTTGATGCGTCAGCTCATATTATTTTGACAAGGGTCATTACATCTCTATTTATCAACGTTCAGTAATACTAATATGGTTGTTCACGTAACTATTTGTTCATACTATCAAGAGAAACTTGTAGTTGCAATATTATGTAGACCTAACAAATTAATTTGTAAAACAATTCGAGTTCTTTACCATTTATACGTAATTAATGCTTATATTCTGAAAAAGTATTCTTTTTTTAATTAACATTGAAAGAGTTAAAAGCATGGAGTTATAACACCGTAATGTTAAGATAAGTTTGATATTGAGCTATAATAATATTTTCTTAATTACCGATAATTGACCCAGTTTCTCAGTCTAAGGACTTTCCAAAAATTACTAAAAGGAAAGGATAGCTTACGAGCCTATGTGCTATGACCTTGGTCATCCGTTCTCCAGTAGCCTAATGGGCTGGTGAATGGGTCGTGAGAAAATCACTTATGTAAATACAAGTCCGGGGAATCGATTATCGTCGAATGTGCGACGTGCGATCGGTGCATCGAGTGCATTCGGATGGAAAGTGCATCGGTTAAAGATTGCGCAAGCGCAGGCAAGCGGCTCGCAATTGCAATACTGCGGCGTCGCTGTGACCCCGCCAAATGAGATGCAACGTAAGCATACAATCTACCCACGGTGGGTGTCCATACATGTGAAAATAATTGTAAATTAATTAAAAAAAAATAATGATACTTTTTTCCAAATGTTTCGGCAGTGGAAACCCATCGTAAGAACTTATGTATTAAGTGTGCTGTTGTCACTTGTGACGGATAAATGATCTTTATGGCATAAAGCTGAAGTTAAGTAGTTTACCCCTTCATTATAATTATGGATGTATGTAATTATTATGTTTTAAGAGAAGTTTTAAATGATTCTAAAAATCTGTAATTATGTAAATATTGTAAAAATCAAAAGACTTTATTTAATTATTTTCATTTTCTAAATATTTAGTAAACAAAAGGTACTATCAGAAAATAGAATAAAACACAGCCTTATATTATATCGCATTCATAAAAAAGAAATTAGGAAACGTAACAGGAACTGTGCGTGTGGATACGACAGTTTTTTGCCTTTCCTTGTCAACTCTAGCACTTTTTTTAAAGTAAAAACATTAATATTTAATGGCTTCCTAATAAAAGAAGGTGTACTTTCAGAGTCGGTTACGTGCTTATTTAACTTTATCACGAAATTATAATGTTTAAAGAAAATGACAATTTTAAAAACTATACAAACACACAGCAATGATATTCTGTCAAAGAAGAATTTGTGAGAAGTCATTTTATCTTTTCAAAATCTCTCGAGTGTTTGAGGTTTAACATTAGGTCTCAATGGAACGGTTGAAGATTAGTAATTGGGCGCAAAAAACCTCTTTCCTGAATAGTTAACTAAAAGAGTATAAAATCCAATAAAATTTTGTGTAATTTCGTTGTTTTAATATGTTAGTTATAAATAAAGTGTTATCGGAATCAAATGAATATTGAAAGGAAGAAAAATTTAAAGTAGGTCACGGTAACTAATAATTGTGATAAAATGCACATTGTTTTATCTTTAACTATTATAAAGTCATACAAACATTTCCCTATGAATATAATTAATTTATTTATGTTGCTTTCCCACGCGCCCGGACGTCCGCACGGTAAACGAAGCGCACGCAATATCGTAAACACGTAGACACGTAAAGTCCCTCACATACACATAACACGTAGTGTTGTCCCATTTTACGTTGAACACACATTGTCACATCACTAAGACTTACCGAGAACGGGGAGTAGGGTGAGCACTATCCACAGGGGAGACATGTCGCCGCGGTGAGCGTCGCGTTGCAACTGCCGGCGGTTGCGCGCGCGCCGCCCGCCCCGACTTTGGAGGGGGGCCTGAAAGCTCGCAGTTGCCCGCCCGTGCAGTAACTCTAGCTCAGCCCTTCTCAAACTTTACGAGGTATATCAAATAGTAAAAATATCTAATAAGTGTATTAATTATATGCAAATAATGAATCTCAAGAGAAATCAGACTATTCATAGTTATTTTACATCTATGTGTATGTTTAATTTAACTTAATAAGGCATTGATTGCGGTCAGTATAAAGGTAATTTCAACATTTAGACAGTATGTTACAACTGATAAGCGTATAATTAGTTTTGTTTTGTATAACATAAATGAATATCAAGGTCAGTCTATTACGAATTAGTGAAATCAGATGATTAAAATTGTTCTTAATTTTATTAGAAACGTGTGTGGTTGAGAACCACTGACTTCAATGACATATTGTAATATAAGAAGCGCCCTTTGTGCAAAGTAACACGTAGTTCTATGACTAACTAAGGGTCAACTTGTGAAGATCCGTGATAGTGGAATCCACAAGCAGGATGCTTAATAAACAGAAAACATCGGCTTACAATTTAAACATTGAAATAAATTTTAGCCATAACACTGGCACAAAGATATATTCTAAAGGCCTAGCACGAAAACTGCGAGAAACTAGTAACATCATCGAGAAAAAATTATTAGATTTGTGCACCCCTATCGGGGCATAAAGTACATCAACTCATCTCCAACAACATTTTGGCGATGAAGTTACAAATAATTTCATTAAAATTCTCGTGATAGGTTAACTACTCTCATGATTTTTATAAGATAACTATGTATGCTATAAAGATGATGATGGTATTCATGGTTAGTAGAATCTTTATTTAAATCAATATTTGTTGCCTAAACCACATTAATTATGACGTCGTTTGATTTTTGATTATTATGAAATATCTATTATCCAACTAATATTATAAATGCGAAAGCTAAGATGCATAGATAGATAAATGTTTGTTTGAAGGTATCTCCGGAACAGCTCAACGGATTTTCAAGTAGAACATGGTCTAGAAGAACACATAGACTACTTTTTTTTTTAATTCCTTGCGGACGGAGTCGCGGGCGACAGCTATTTAATAAATACTTATTTTCTAATATTCCTCGCTGTGTAGAGTTATATAATACTTGTCATATATAAAGTATTCAAACAAAGATTATATCTTAAGTTTGACGTAACTTAATGCATTGTCGCACTCAATGCATTCACTTGCCTCATTTCAATCTTCATCTTGCATTTAAAACCATCGCATTTTTAAAACGTATAACATTTCGCTGAATTGAATTTTTAATATAATTCTGTTAATTTCTATTTTATTTAAGAACAAAGCAATGTCATTCTATGGTATTTTAATATGAAGTGTAGGACAAAGGACGTACTAAATGGCATACATATAGATTTTTTAAATCAGTCCAATCTCTTAGATAACAACGAACTATTATGCATTCAAATAGAAGATAATTTACGCTCTCAATTATGAAATCTAAAGAATAAAATTAAAAGCTTAAATCAAGTGACGTTCGACTAACGTCAAATCGTGTTAGGTTTCCGTGTCCTTATTGCACAACACGTACAAGACGTTCACACAAATGTTTAAAGAGTACCTCACGACGAAAGCGCACTTCATTCTAATATGCACTTTGTACCCGCTTAACCTTTCCTCACGTTGTCACAGTAACCTATGGTAAGTAAAGTTATTTTATCATACTAACAACGTGTCCCGACTTCGAATGGTTAAAAAACCAATCGAGATAAACTATCGTGTGTTTTATACGAATCAAATTATGAAATTATTAATGAACAAACATCACAATAGGTTATGTAGTTTCGAAGATGACGCGAGATTTTAATATCAATAAAAAAGGGTCTTGACAAATAGACGGACGGACAACAAAGTGATCCTGTAAGGGTTCCGTTTTTTTCCTTTCGAGGTACGGAACTCTAAAAAAGATAAGGATATCGAATATTATCTGAATATATTTCTTAAACGCGAAGAATATTAAAAATCTATTTTTAGTAATTTCTGGTAAAGGTGTCGAAAATATTTATTTATATTTGTTTTGTTACATCATCTAACCACGCAGAAGCCTTAAGGTCGGTGATTACATTATGCTTCTTTGCTACTATACGAGTATGTGCGCTTTTACATATAACGAGCTTCTTAATAATTTGTTGCGAATAAACATTGTAAATGAAACCATTGATCAATAAAAATACAATTAAAATAATACATATCACTTCTTTATATCTTAATTAACCAAAAATAAAATTGTTTAATATGGCTATTTAATTATTTATGTGTTGTATATTTCAGTTGAATATTATTACAAAACGTAACTATACAAAAGTATTGCCTGTTTATAAAATAAAAACTAATTATTTACGTTTGAAATATCAGACGTTCCCACGGTATTTTTGAACGTCGACGGTTATGCTCCTCGAACTAGAAATCACCGTGTCTATTCACAGAGCGCTATAATAATGCTACTTTTGTTGTCAGAGGTCAATGAAAAATGTAATTTTTATTTCTTAATGCTTTACAAGGTTACGTCGATAAATAAAGAATTGACGCATCCATTCCTTTTTCATTCAAAATCTTCCATAGACATTATTTGTCTAATATGAAAATGAAATATTACTATGGTTATGAGTTAATCAAGAAATTGTAACACATCTTAATACTGCTTGCATTTTCTGCGCCATCTATTAACTTTAAGTGCAAGGATTCCGTCTCTAAATAATCCAATACACGTTCCTAGTTCGGAATGCATAATAACATTTGTACCTCGTTCATTTGTCAACCCACTCCATGTAAACCGCAACGAAGTATTGTGACGTTGACATACAATTTATCAAGAATAATTAAACTTTATGCCATTGTAATAAGGCTTTCACTCAAACTGAAATAATTACTCAATCCGTCAGACGTTGTGGTTTTTGCCAATTGTTAAGACATAATCGAGAAAGGAAGATATTACATACTTCAGTGATATTTAATTGGATATCTAAAATTTACCAACTAAAACTTTATATTAAACTTCCAATATCAATATCTCGTACAAATTTCCGGCTTTGTTAATATAAGTTAAATGTAATTTATGGTATATGTTAAATTTTACAATAATAATTACATTGTGTTTGAATGCATTTAACTTACTTAACTTACTACGTAATACTATTTCTTGCAAGTATATTTTCAAGCTTCAAGTAACACGGCATCGGAAAATGAACAGAGAACGGATATTACGCACGCAAGTGCAAAAATGTTATGAAAAATGTACTATTAATTAAAGAAGCCTACTTATAAAGTAAAGCTATATGTAATGTTTCTTTTAATATTATGCCAAATTGAAGTCAGTGTTCTCTGCCTACCCCTGTGGGTTATAGGCGTGAGTATATTAGGTTTTTAAATAAGATTGGTCTAACTATATTTAAGTATACGTGTATTTGGATTTACACTACGTGATCATATTTTTCAAGGACTTGGATTCAAAATTGTGACACTGTAATATTACAAAAAACTGTATTTAATCTATGGTTATCATAATAAATATTTCTATAAAGATGGCACTATAGATATTCGACCGGTTCTAAAGTGTCTAGTATGTTAATACGATGTTTCATCATAACAGAGCCTCGCTGACCCGTCCTGTTACATCCGAGCTTTACTTGCTGTACTGCGGCATCTTAACGAGATACTTTCATTTCTTTAACAACATGAGCTCACTTTTGCATAACATAACCTCTATAGATTATAGATAAAGAACATTTTTTCGCTTTATCTCGACCGCTCCCTCTAATTATTTCAGTTTAGTGCGTTGTGTTTAAAATAATGTCGTTGATGTCTTTTATATGAAAGACACACGAGCGACATTTATCAGTCAAAAATTATTACATACTGTGTCCTTCTTTTTAAAATTTATCCTTTTAAATTGCGAAATAGGAAGAGAATGCATTTAAAATAAACCTGTAGGCGTACAAATTTAGCTAGATATTTTCTAATAAAAGACCGTACACTGTATTGTTTATGATAAAATATACTAAATAATAAGTAAAATACTTCTAATATTAAAATAACCAACAACAAACTCTAACAAGTAACCTCAAAGGAATGTTGACGATGTAATACAAACATAAATACATATACTTATAACAAGCTCATCGTCATTCGATAAACATCATTGCGGGTCATTACAACACAAAATATTATAAAATGTCACAGAAATTACGATACATTAACTAAGATGGATCCATTTTAGTTAATTATGTTCAGCCATCTTCTGCGTAGTTATCGAGATCATTACCGAGATCGATATTAAGGTTGATTATTTGCACCGATTGCAAATACAACAACAAATAAAATATTTGTTTATTAAAAAAAAAACAAATAACTATTATATATCTAAAAAAAATTGAGAAAAAATATGAATCGAATAACATCATTCATCAAATTAGGTTAAGTCTTTTAGGCTACAGATTTTATTAGGTTTTATTATTATCAACCTGTATCAATCCCAAAGACATTCAATATACCAATAGACAGAACATTACGGACTTAATTGCACGCTCAAAAACATCACTGCGATAGAGCGGTACTGACGATTGTGTGATTATTTTTAAATATTATAAGAAAAACGCACATAATATTTGAATACCCTTTATAAATTCACTCTTCGACACTTACTTAAGGTAACAAAAACTGTTTAAATGATATTTAAATCTATCAGATTACTATATTGCAATATACACGTGTAGTGAGTAGACTAAGTTGGTCACATGCAATAAAATAGACCATTATGTGTGTACATCATTAATGTCAGTTTGTACTTGCTTCATTTACGTAAATGTTTATGGATGGCAATTCGTGTCATTCTAACAGAGATACTTCTACATGAATAAAAAAGTCGCCACAAAATTAAACAGACAATTATGTTTCGAAAAAAAAAACAAACT